CCAAGCTTGTAAAAACCAGGTTTACCACCTGGCCTCAACTTACCTTCCCAGGCTCATTATACCCTATCTGTGATCCAGCCTAAACTCCTCAACACTGCATCTACTGCCTCCATCCCTTATGCCTGGAATGCACTCTCTCCCTACCTCCCCTCAGTTCTACCTCATAGAATTTCTCTCTTCTCAAAAAGGCAACTTAAGCACCATCTCCTACATGATGCATTTCACTATTCCCTCCATCCCTATATAGTATGTGTTCTCTTAATATTTATTTATTGATATTTATTCAGTGACATATTTCATATTTATATCAATGTTGTATTTACTTATGCTTGTCTCCCCTGATAGAATGTAAACTCCTTAAGAGTCACGCTTATTTGTTTTTGTATTTGTAGCACAATGGCTAGCACCTAGGCAGCACTCAGTAAATTATTGTTGACTGGGCTACAGCAAAGCTCCCGCACAGCTAAGGAAGTGGTTTTCTTTTTTTTTTTTTAATGTTCAATAAATTTTTATTAGATAAATTCTTTTACTTTATCCGGGAAGAATCACAACAAAGCAATATTGGACAGAGGAAAAAATGTTGAGTTTGGTATCAAGGGATATGAGTTCAGATCCTAGCTCAGGTACTTACTTTTTATGTGACCTTAGGCAAGTCACAACCATCCTAGTACTGTTTCCTAAAATAAGAGGAATAGACTAAATGACCTATGAGCTAGCTCTACATCTATTTTTTCCTTTTCTTTTCCTTTTAAAAAATTTTTTATATCAAACATTTATTAATATATTTATTTTTAGTTTTCAACATTCATTCCACAAGATTTTGAGTTCCAAGTTTTCTCCCCATCTTGCCCCTCCCCCACCCCAAGATGGCATGGATTCTGAATACCCCTTCCCATAATCTGCTCTCCCTTATATCACCCCCCCATCCTCTTCCCCTTCTATTTTCCTGTAGGGCAGGATAGATTTCTATATCCCATTGCCCATATATTTTATTTTCCAGTTGCATGTGAAAACAATTTTTAACATTTGTTTTTAAAACTTTGGGTTCCAAATTTTCTCCCTTCCTCCCTCCCCACCCACCCTCATTGAGAAGGCAAACAACTCCATACAGGTTATACATGTGGAGTCATGCAAAACTGGAAGTGGTTTTCTTGCAGCACAGGTCTGACCATATCATTGCCTTCTCAATAAGCTCTAGTGGCTCATTATTGCCTCTAAGATCAAAAACAAACTACCTTGGCCCTTGAAGGCATTCACGGCTGATCCTTGCAGTTTTATTAAGACATTATACCATTATTCATTCAGTGATCCAGCCACACTGGTCTTTTTGCTATTAACATTGCATTTCATCAGAACTGGCTGTGCCCTATTCCCGGAATGCACTCTCTTCTCACCTCCTTTTTAGAATTTCCAGCTTCCTTTGAAGCTCAGGTTTTGTACCACTTCCTACACAAGACTGTTCTTGACCCCTAGTTATAGTGCCTTTCCCCCCAATACCCCTGAAATTACCTTGTATTTAATTTTGATTTATACTTATATACACATATTATTTCCTCTGGTAGCATATAAACTCCTTGAGGGCAGGGACTATTTAATTTTGGTCTCTAAATCCCCTCCATCATGATCCTCACCTGGTACAATGTTATTTTAAGATAATAATAATAGATGAAATTATATAGTGCTTTAAGAATCATGCAACACTTTATCTACATTGTATCTCACTTGATCTGTTTGGTGGTAACACTGACAATGAAAATCCTCACTAGTCTTCTCATTGTTGTACGGTATTTTCAGTACTGTAGGACTCTTCATAACCCAATCTGGGGGTTTCTTGGCAAAGATATTGGAGCGGTTTGCCATTGCCTTCTGCAGCTCATTTTACAGATGAGGAAACTGAGGCAAACAGGGTTAAGTGACTTGCCCAGGGTCACACAGCTAGTAAGTGTCTGAGGACAGATTTGAACTCAGCAAAATAAGTCTTCCTGATCCTCTATCACCACGCCACTTGGCTGCCCAGTCTGCTATACAGTATTATATGAACAGCAGTGATAATCAGACTAGAATTTTGTTCTTCATGTGGCTCTCTCATATGTAACTGTGACTTTTCAAGACCTCTAATACAGGAATGATACCCTCGTTGCTCAGAGTAAGCACTTATTAAGTGTTCGTTGAATGAACTGAATTGAATCTTAGAGGTAGTGTGATACAGTGGAAAGAATGTTGGGTCTGGAATCAAGAATACATGAAATCAAATCCAATCTCTGCCACTTATTACCTGAGTGACCTTAGATAAGTCCTTCCAGTTCTCTGAGCTTCAATTTCCTCAGTTGTAAAATGAGGGGGGAAAGCCTAAAAGGAAGGAACTCTTTCTAATTTCTCCTAGTTTTAAATCTGTTTCTACCAATTGTTAGAACTGATCAGAGATTGCGCTCTTTAAGCAGAGCTTTTGAGAGCCTAGGGTAACCTTTACGCAATGAAAAAATATTGGTCCAATTATACAAGGATAATAATAACAAATAATAATATTTATTGAACTCTAAAGTTAGCAAGGCACTTTACATAAAAGTAATTCAAAGCTAAGATTTAATTGGGCAATAGGTAATGAAAATCAGGAAGACAAGTGAGAAGGCATTTCATGTCTTCTGATTCTTCTTCCAAGGTTCAGTGTTGAGTGTGTTTAATATAAACAGGTAGAGAACAACAAAAGGAGGTAAGGATTATTGAGAGCTGAGTGGTTGGCACAGGTGCATGTGGGCAGGACCAACGAAAATTTTGCAAGCCAAATTAAATTTTTATAATCAGATCGGTTTGTGAAATTTGTTTTTTAAGGCTGCTCTACTCCCCCAAATACCTTTCTTTCAAATACAATTCAAGATGCTTTACTTTTATCACTCACCTATTCGGTCAGGATGCTCACAAAAAAGGGGAAAACATGGGAGTACAAACTTCATAAAATAAGGAAGGAAATACTTCCAAATGCCTCATAATGTTTAACTCAGTACATCATGTACTCCCAAAGATAACACTAAACAAACTGCTTTGGGATGTAAAAAATACCAAGGGTTCACAGCATGAATAAGTTTGTTATAAGAATCTTAGCATTTCCTAACTCTGAGGAATTTCATGAATAAACACTGTGATTTCAAGTTTCAAAGACATGTTTTTAAATTTAGATCCCCTAACAGGTGTTAAGAAAACAAACTGTTAGTCTGACCTTTATTGTTAAAAGGCAAAACAAATGCTAGAGTATTCCCTCTGCTTTCTTCAAACAGATATGGAACTTGAAGCCTTAATTCTACTGGAATCATAACTGCTGGTCATGCTAGCATAAACTGAGTGTTAGGATAAACTGTTTCCTACACCCTCATACCCCTACACCTTGCAAAGTATATATTCCCTAATAATGCCGTGGCTCCCCAATTTCAAGAACTAAAAGACAGGGCCTGAGTCTTAAGTAGTAGAAGTTTATTTTCTTTTTCCTTAATATTCTCATCTGTCTAGTGCGGTGCTTGACCAAGAAAAGGTTACTACTAAATGCTTTTTGATTGATTAAATCTAATTTAAGCCACTGTCCCCCCATGTCCAGTTTGAAGCTTTAAACCACTTCCTAAAACTGGTAAAAATGTATATCATGCTTTAGAGCCATCAAAATTCAGTTATAATACCTGGGGGGAGGGGAAGAGAAGAGATGAAGAATAAACACAATGCCCAAAATTATTTTTAAATTATCTCTAATATAAAATCAATCTGATTTTATAACAAACCCTCAATTTAATTTTTCAAGGAACATAAGCCATAGGAAAAATGTGGGGGATGATTTTTGTTTTTATACTAAAGGTGATCAGTTCCTCTAATACCCATCTGAATTAGTAACTCAGAAGTAGATGAAGGCAAATCTGGAGCCAGAAGACCGCCTTGGGTTCTAGTTCTGGTTCTGCTACTAACCAACAATGTGGCACCAACCAAGTTTACTCATCTGTGAAATGAGGAGATTGGATGAAATGATCTCAAAGGTCTCTTTTAACTATAAAAAGTTTAAGATTTAAATTTAGCTCAAAATTTCCAGCTTGTGGTGGAGCTGGACAGAATGGGAATTCACCTTTGGGCAGCAAGATTGTATGGAAAATTTCCAACAAAAGCAACAATTTTATAGTGGCAATCTCAGGCAAGGGAGTGCAAGCCTTGAAGACCTGGATGTTACTAACTAGTTCACTAAACATGTTAAATGTGAAATGTGAAAAATTCACAATATGAAATGAAATACTGAGGCAGTGATCTACATAAAAATTGTCAGTGAAATTTTTCCTTTCAGTTAGCTGAAGAAGTCAGAAGTTTTATTCTGTTATTTATTTATTTATTTTAATTATTGGGCCTGAATAAGTGTTTCAATTCTCCCTCTCACTTCTGCAGTCCATCTACACAACCTGGAGTTGTAAAGAAATTGGTAGTTATTTGTACTAAGCTATAATAGCAAGAACTGTGAGATGTGAACTAATTGTGGCAGAAATGCTTTCAATCATATGTTGTTCCCACTGTACTGGTTTAAAACTAGGTGTAAACATGGATTGTGCACAAAGTATCACTACTACCTGAATACAGGTTTTAAAATCCTCCTCTCCCCCCTCCCCAATGAAAGACGGCACTCTGGAATGGATTGTTCTGCTAAGAACAGTAATTACTAACATGATGACAATATAGATATAGAAATACACAAACACAAACATGTATATGTGCATATATGTATGATATTTATAATAGTTTTACTATACTGTCAAAAGCCTGAAAGTGGCCAGGTTGCTAGAGCTTACTAGGGAGGAGGCAGAAACAAGCTATGGGTTTTACCCAGCACAATTCAGGACAAAACTCCAGAGACTTTGCCTTCCCAGGAGCAATACTGCTCTTTAGCTGAAAAAAGAGAAGGGTCCCAATTCTCCCCTCCGTTTCCTCACACATATACACACTAAGCAAAGAGCTATCCAGACACTCGTTACTGTACCTACCTGATTGCCAAAGACAGCCAGGGAGCAGGCTGTGGAAACCTCCCGTTCACTAAACCAGACCGCGGCAATGCGGGAGGGCATGCCAAGGATGAAGACCTGGGCAACAGAGCAGAAAAACTGCCCCAGCGCGGTGACGGCAAAGAGATTCGGCTTCAAGCTGCCCACTTTCACCCAGGCGCCCAAGCAGTTAAGGACCGACCCCAAGAGGGCGACGGTACGTAAGCCATATTTCTCCAGAAGATAAGCCACAGGGAACAGTAATGGAATATAAGTCACCATGAAGCTCATGGACAAGCAGTCAATGGCAAAGGTGCTGACCCCATAGAAGTGCACGAAGACGTTATTAACAGCACCATACTGGATCCACTGGAAGGCATTGCACAGAGAATAGGAGCTGAACAACAGGACGATCACCCAGCGGAGACGGGACACCTTGATCTTAACGGGTTCTGCGGTGGCTGAATCATCGGGTTCCGTAGTGGATTCCCTTTCAGGCTGCTGAGGTTGCCCTTCGGCAGTGGTGGGAACTGAAGTCACACTCACCATCTCTACAAATTGCACTGTCCCCCACTAATCCCTACTTCCCTATTATTCGGACTCCTTGAGCTCCCTGTCTCCCTCTCAGGAAGACCGTTTCTGGCCTCACCTTAAGGAAGACTTAGTGCTTACAGGGCTGTCCCCCTCTCAAAATGAAAAAGACAGCAACAAACAAAAATCTCACTCCAAGAGAAAATCAATCAGCTTAGCCACTCAGTCGCTAAACTAGGGAAAAGGGAGCACCGTATAAGACAACCCGGGGCTCGCCTCTCAGCCTACTCTTCCGGCTACCACTTTTTGCTCCCACTGGGGTCTCAGCTGATGCATCTGCTTCTCTTTTGTCACCTCTGGCTTCGAACCCCTACAACTTTCCTGTTCTCACTCAGACAGTGCCCTGCTTCCACTTCGGAAGCCCAGTCCCGAGACCCCGATCCCTCTTGCAGTCACTCAAATAGCACCGGGAACAACTTCTGGGTCCCACCCCCTTTTACACACGTGATCCGCCCCTCCCCTAGCCGGCTCAAACTTAGCTGGCAAGTCGCTCTTTTCTGTTCTCCACAGTGTTGCCACAGTATTCAGGCCCCTTACCTCAATCCCATCGCCATGGAAACCACGGGATACTCTCCAGCCCCTGTCCCCCCGCCCTAGCCTGCCCTTTCCAAGCTAAAGGCCCCAGGATGCATCTCCTCCTTCCCAAAAATCTGCTATCCCTTCTTAACACACGCTCCACAAACAGGAACACCCCGAAGTTATTATGATGACTCCTTTCCCAGCACCTAGTGAACACCTCCCAAAGAGTGGGTCACAAACGCTTCCGTTTTCTCTTATTATTTCTATCCCTAAAATTACATTCCCTACTCCCAATGTATACATATATGTGTATATATATATGTGTGTATATATGTATATACACACATATACATACATATATACATACACACATATGTATATATGTATATGTGTATATATATGTACTGGATAGGAATGAATGAATTAATATATATATATATAATATATATATATATATATATATATAGAGAGAGAGAGAGAAGAGAGAGAGAGAGAGAGAGAGAGAGAGAGAGAGAGAGAGAGAGAGAGGCACAGCATAGGATTTAGAGATCATTTAACCTGATCTCCTTATTTTCGGTTGAGGAAACGCACTCAGGAGTGAGGTGGCTTTCTTCAAGACGCCGTCTGACATCCCAATCCATTACTTTCTATTACATCACGTCAGGTATGCCGTTCGATTGAGAAAGGGGGATAGCCTTTAGCCATTGCTTATATCGGAAGCTATAAGCTTGTTCTTACTGAAGTACTGAGCACAAACAGAAGAGAGAAGAGGAGAGGGGGTGGAGCAGGATAAGGAGGAGGGGAGCGGCTAGCTATTGGGAAAAAGAGAGACAACATGGCCTGTGGGCAAGGTCTTTTGGACCAGGCTGCTTTGAAGTCCTTTGGAATTTCCAAGTTTAACTAACACTGAATCAGAATGTTGCCCTCTTAAGAACTCTTTATACCCGCTGACAGGCATATGTGACTGCTTTCCCCTACTTCCATTCAAATCAACAACTCCAAAGCAAAACAGGGAACATTAAGCTGGCAGACTCTTGAAAGACAGGCCTCCCTTGCACTCCAGTCAAAGAGCACCTTCACAATTATTTTTCCGAGATTCATCCCACTGCCACTAAGCAAAGATGATAACCACTTTCTACTTTATTTAAGACAGGTTGCTAGCTGTCCCAGGAGTCGGGAAGACATCCTGGACAAGTCACTTAACCTCTATTTGACTCAGTTTCCTCAACTGTAAAATGGGGATGATAATAGCACCTACCTCCCAGGGTTGTTCAGATCAACTACTGATTGGTAAAGTGCCTGGTACACAGTAATACATGGAATGCTACATAAGAAGTACTTGATAAAATGCTTGTTTCCTTCCCCTGGAGGCTACATCACACTTGAAAGCCAGTCCAAAGCATCAGTGGCATCTGGAGCCTTCTCACCTGGCTGAGGAAAACAAATTGGATTTAATCAATCAACTAGCATTTAGTAAGAGCCTACTTTTTGTCAGGTACTGTGCTAACCAGCTGAGGATACAAAGAAGGAGAAAAAAAGCAAACTTCTGCTACTTAAGACTCAAGCCATGTTTTAATTCTTAAAATTGCGGAGCTGTGGCATTAGGGAGTCTGTGCTTTGTAGGGGTGAGAAAGTGTAGTAGGATATAGAGCAGGGGTGGAGAACCTGTGGCCTCGAGGCCTCTGGGTCCTCAAGTGTGGCCCTTTGATAGAATTTAAATTTCTGTGAAGGGCCACACTTGAAGACTTAGAGGGCCACAGGTGGCCTTGAGGCCTCAGATTCCTCACCCCTGGTATAGAGTGTAGCATTAGAATGAGGGTAAAGGGTATAACAGAGACTTATATTCTGTTCTTCACCCTCACCATCTTGTGCTACCATTTTTAGTCATTTTTCCATTCTCTCCCTCCCCCTCAAAATGGGATCTATAATTTTCATCTGATTCTAACTAACTTATTTTATAACAACAACATGGTGTGAAATGCATTGGTAATGAAAGAACAAATCAAAAACTTTGAATTCTACTTGCAAAACTGAAATCATTAGAAATTATTTAGGCGACTGTGAACAATTCATTTAGCCTTTGTTTCTCCATGATGAAAATAAGGCCAGCAGTACTCATCATCCTAGGTTACAGGGCTATGGTGAGAAATTATAGTATCACAGAATTTTGGAGTTGGAAGGGATGTTACAGGTCATGTAGTGCTCTGAAATCATAAACAAGACATTTGCTGTATCATTATCGGGTGATAAATAGTTAAGGAAACCCAAGTATTTTCAATGAACTGTGTAATGTAAGGGGAGATACAAGGAATTATAAAATATTGTCTCTGTAAGGGGTTTACAATAAATAAAATTAGGGAGGCAAAGATTCATAGTATCACAGAGTAGCATATGATAAAGTCAAATGAACAAGTTGTTCAGTCACGTCCAACTCTTCATGACTCCATTTGGGGTTTTCTTGGCAAAGACACTGGAGTGGTTTGCCATTTTCTTCTCCAGCTCATTTTACCAAGGAAGAACTGAGGCAAACAGAGTTAAGTAACTTAGCCAGGGTTACATAGCTATTAAGTGTCTGAGACTAGATTTGAACGCAGGAAGATGAATCTTCCTGACTTCAGGCCTGGCACTCTATCCCCTGCACCAACTAGCTGCCCCAAATTAACAATACATACAATAAATGCTAGGAGAAGTCCAGAAGAGAGACTGTCATCACAATAGCTAACATAGAGCACTTTAAAATTGCCACATACTTTATATATCTTATTTCAGTTGATTCTTGGAACAATTCTTTGAGGTAGATGCTATTAGTATCTCCATTTCACATAGAAGGAAGTTCGGGCAACTAGGTGGTGCAGTGGATAGAGCACCAGCCCTAAAGTCAGGAGGATGTGAGTTCAAATCCAGACTCAGACCAAACACTTGACACTTACTAGCTGTGTGATCCTGGGCAAGTCACTTAACCCCAACTGCCTAAAAGCCAAAAAAAAAAAAAAAGAATCAAATGGGAGCAAGCTGAGACCCAGAAAGCTTAAAATGCTTTTCCTGGAGCCACTACCCACCTAGTAAGGAGTCAGAAGTAGGATTTAAAATTAGCTTTCATTCTACTTTCTCTTAAATTCTAGCATAAATCAAAGTATTTATAGAGCACCTTTTGCTGGGTATAGGGCATTTATATGCTCCAGTGGGCTTCACTGGTTTATGACATGCACAGGAGGAGACTGTATTGTGCTAAGAGGCAGTGTGATACTGTACAGAGAACACAGGCTTGGGAATCAGAGAATATGGGTTCAAAGCCTGACATTTCAACCTGTGTGCCTTTGGGCAAGTTGCTTTATCAGTTTGGGCTTCCTTTTCTTCATCTGTGACATTAAGAAAAGACAGGGAGAAATGACTCCTAGTTCTAAATTTATAGTCCTATGTGTATTTGCATAATCATTTACATATTAGCAAAATCTATACAAACTATGGATTCAGGAAGGGATTTTTCAGGTTAAAAAAAGTGTATTATTATGAGATTAATGTCAACTTCAGCCAATCAAATTAAAGAGTGGTACAAAGTGAACCTTATTGATCTAATTCAAGGGGTGACTACAGCCAGAAGGGGGTCTTAGGTGTACAGGAATATTGAAATAATATTGTGGGTCTCACTGTGGTCTAGTGCTCTGGTTGTCCTGTATGAGGAGCTTGGGAAACTGGGAGGGAGGAGATGTATCAAGGTGGGGGCAATCTGGAGAAATCAGACAGAGTGAAGGGGAAGAGGTAAGGACGAGTCTGTGAGATGTCAAGGAGAAGGGTAAAGGAGAGGATAAGAGACGAGGGAGAGAAGAATAGCGAAGGTCTGGGGGGTTGAAAGAAGGGGTCAGAGAGATATCTGGGGAAAGAGGTAGTGTCCTCCAGGGGTCTCTTTGTTCTAAGGCTAGAAGAGAGAGGTAGGCAGTGTGGAAGAAGAACAGATAGATGTCTGGCTTTCCATCTCCACCCCACCTTTCTGTGTCTCTTTTCTTTCCCCTTCTCCTGGCTGTTCTCATCCTATGCTTTCCTCCACCTGGTTCTTCTCACTTCCTTTCCTTCACCTGGCTTTTTTCCCTCATTGGGCTCTGCTCCCCCACCTTCAGGAGTTCAAATCTGACCTTAGACATGTACCTAGGCAAGTCACTTAACCCTGTTTGCTTCAGTTCCTCATCTGTAAAATGAGCTGGAGAAGGAAATGACACACCACTCCAGTATCTTTGCCAAGAAAACCCCAAATGGGGTCATGAAGAGTTGGACACTACTGAAATAACCAAACAACAACAACGAAGTATATAAGCATTCTATACTTGTCCATCTTTTTTTTTTTGCAGAAGAAAACATATTGATTCAAAATTAGAGAGTAATTTAAGTTTGTAGGCCAGCATTTCTAAAACAGTATTTCACATAATATGAATGGGGTTAGAGAGTTGAGGAAAAGTCCTTGAGAGCATTTCAGTGACAACAGTACTTCTTTATTTAAAGTATTAATGATTTTAGATCTATGCACATAGAAGTCAATGTTTATATTGTGTGGCAGTTCTTTCAATATAAAAATAAGCTTATTTTCTCTGAAATTTCTGGCTCGCATTTATCCTAACCCACTGGACTAGCATTTATGAGTTCCAACAAACTTTGGTCTCAAAGTATTAGATGGCTAAATTTTAGTATGAGAAGCACACCAGTGTACAATGCTTGGTTTTACCCTGTTTTGAACCACTAGAGGGCACTCAGAGTTTTCTTCTCTATAGCACTCACAGTGGAAACAAAATCCCAGGTATCTTTCCAGAGCCACATCTGTGGATTAGGCCATGAAAAGCCGGATTCTTAAAATTCCAGATTTTCTGTACTCATCTCAGATTTCCCCAAAGTAGATGTGCACTACTGAAC